ATTTTTTTTTTTGCTAAATTACTAAAATATTACTAATACTTTACTTCTTAGAATGTACAGACCTGAAACTCGCCTACAGCACTTATTCATTGTTGCTCTTATAGTTGTGTAAATTACTTCCTTGTCCTCATTTGTAAGTCGCTTTGGATAAAAGCTTCTGCTAAATGACTAAATGTAAATGTAATGTTGCTGTTGCTTATAATTTTATTATTAATCTTATTTATTCTATTCTTATAATCCGTCCCTTCCAAACTGAAGACATATACTGGATTTAGAAGCACTTAGGTTTAGAACCACTCGAGGGTGAATAAATGATAAGGAACTTTTCATATTTGGATGAACTATCTACAGTAGTCATGGGGCGATAACCGTGCTCAAGGTATACCGTGATTTAGAAAAGTCAAGGTTTTAAAAACGTCATAATTTTCTGCTATACCGTTTCTAAGATATGTGTATGATTTTTTTTTATTTACATTTATTTGTGACATCAGTATCACTAGCAGAAAAGATCTATATTTTATATCTATATATATATATATAAACATTTTAAACTGTAGAGAAATCTGTGTTTTAGAAACAAATGAAGACAGCAGAAGTCTATGATGCACTTGAATTATGTGGCCTGACATGTTCATTCATTCATTCATTCATTCGTTTTCTTGTCGTCTTAGTCCCTTTATTAATCCGGGGTCGCCACAGTGGAATGAACCGCCAACTTATCCAGCAAGTTTTTACGCAGCGAATGCCCTTCAATCTCTGGGAAACATCCACACACACACTCATACACTACGGACAATTTAGCCTACCCAATTCACCTGTACAGCATGTCTCTGGACTGTGGGGGAAACCGGAGCACCCGGAGGAAACCCACGCGAACGCAGGGAGAACATGCAAACTCCACACAGAAACGCCAACTGAGCCGAGGTTCGACCCAGCGATCTTCTTGCTGTGAGGCGACAGCACTACCTACTGCGCCACTGCCTCGCCCTGGCCTGATACGTTTACTGTTATAAAATATTATAAATGTTTCCCAAATTAAATTTTATTGTGTACAAAGTTTTTTTTTTTTACCCAGATATTTAAAAACAATATATTTATAGCAGTAATCTCAACACTACGGTGGCCGAGAAGTGCAAAACAACATTACAAAGTTTGAAACACTTTTACAAAGCTCGAGACAAATTTACAATTTGAAAAACATGTTTACCTGTCATCAGACACAATTACACAGGAAAAACTATTTTACCAAGGACGAAGCAAATTCACATTTTAGAAAACTAATTAACAAGACGCAAAACACTTTTACAAGTCCCGAAACAAATTTACAATTACAGATTTCTTACGGAAAGGGAATGTACCGCGCACCGGAAGTGACGTAGAATGTACCACACACCGGTAGTGACGCGGGGGAAAGTTGTTGTTGTTGTTGGTGAGAGTGGTAAAACATGTTGTTTTGCACTTCTCGGCCACCGTGTGATACTGTGATAATTATATCTAAGGTTATCATGCCGTCAGAATGTTACACCAGCCCATGCCTAGAACTTCATAATATAATCAGCATTATTTCTTTACAGTATACATTAAGTGATTTAACAATGTCTGTTCTTAATCTTTCAGAATTTGCCAAGAAGTATTGGAAAACTAAAGAAACTCTCCAACTTCAACTGTGATAGGAATCGACTAACATCGTTACCGAAAGAGGTATGAAGCAATGTGGTTTATTCTTTGAACACAAGCTCAACATTGCTGTAGCCACAGGCTTTGGTGACTGAACTGCATCATTCAAACCTCAGAGAAAGCATCAGCTACACAGATAGTATGAATATTTTCCCTTAAAAAGCTTCAAAGCTTTCTCTTTTCTTCTCAACACAAATGATAATATTTATTTATTTATTTTTGTTGAAAACTGATTGACTTTCAAAGTATTTAATTTCCTACTGTGTATGTCAGAGATTACGGGTTTCTGGCTATCTTTAAAATAATATCATTTGTGTAACCGAATAAAGAAACTTTTCTAAAGGTTTGCAAACACTTGTTATTAAGTAAATAGTGGATTTATGTTCAATTTAGAGGTAACTATCTGTTTAAATGCACGTCACGATGTTATTATGGCCTCACAGCTTGCCTTGTTTTTCAGAAATATGTGCCGTGTTTTTTTTTAATGACTTGATATTCCAAAGTGACTTATGAAGCAATACAAGTCATGCACAAACACCTTCAAAACACCACACATTATTGATTGGTTGTGAATTAGAGATGAACAAATATTTACATAGGGCATTTCACACATGCCACTACTTTCATTTCACTTCAGATCAAGTTTAAGCATGACAAGTTGAAATTTAGTTCATTGTGAATGCCACTGTAATATACACACACACGCACTCACCGGCCACTTTATTAGGTACACCTTACTAGTACCAGGTTGGACTTCCTTTTGTTTTCAGAATTGCCTTAATCCTTTGTGGCATAAATTCAATGTGGAAGGTCGGATGGAAAT